CAGAACTAATAGACTGCCGGACAGCGAAGCAGACAGCAGAGAGGGGAGACGGCCTACTTAATGGGAGAAAATTGCGCCAACTGTACATGTAACAGAAAATTCATACCTAAAATATACAAAGAACCCCGCTATTTTCCTCCAGGAGCACAGGCTTCACAGCCACATGAACCAAGGAGGGAGCCCTGGCTTCTGTTGAACATTGAAAATACCTACACTGAAAGAGAAAGATGACCAGAACAAAAACAAGCCAACAAACAAAATAGAAAACAAAGGGAGAAAAGGAAGGAGGTGTAAACCAACGAATCACTTCAAATATGTAAGTCCTGGTGCAGAATAAAAGGCAACCCAAAAAAGCAAGAGAACACATCTCATGCACGAATGGCTAATGCCCCACATAAGTGTGCCTTAATGAAAACAGCCTGAAAGAACTTCCAAGGACTATAGCCATGTTTAGACAACTCACAGAGGAGAAACAAGCCTCCAAAGCTGAATGAAATAAAGAAATTCATCAGAGGGGCCCAGGAGCACCCCAAACAGTCCAGGCTCTTGTTGTTGCTAGTAACTGCTCATCAGCACCGCATGATGACTCTGTTGCTGACAACACCACATACTTGAGTTGCAAGACACCGAGACAACAATCTTGAACTGCCCAGGAAACTTTCTCCCTTCCAAATCACCTTCATAGTGCCTGCCGGAAGGTGCTGGGGGACAAACGTCATCAGTGGTCTTGTCTAGTGCTGCTCCCTGCATGGTTTCCAGATCAAATATGCCCACTAGTAAACACTGTGCCAAGACTCTTTGTGGAAATTACCAACTGGGGTCTTGATTGGATTTGAGGTCTTCTCTGCAGGAGGAAATGCATACTTAGTACTGTAAACAGGATGAAGGAGGTCACAGGGCCTAGGGGAGAATCTATTGATGTTGTTCTTTTAAATGGTTATGTTATCAAACCGCCTTCTGAATAGTTATATTTCTATCCACAGATTTATGCTGCTCCCGACTTTGGCTAGGGAAGTTTCTTCTTGCAGTGGGTGGTGGTTAAGGCAGAGACACATTGTTGCTCAAAGTGCTGAGAATAGGTGACTTTGGATGCACTCAATGAGACATCTACATCTAACCCCCCATCCCCAAGGTTCAGGGAACTTCCCGGAAGATGGGGCAGAAAGAATGTAAGAGCCAGAGGATGGGAAGCAGGACTGTGAGACGCTGTCCTCTCGCACAACATGACATTTCAGTATGAGCTCATAGCAGCTATGGTGATCAAACCAGTCAAGATTTCCATCGTCGATGGGGGAGGGGCTTGCGAGACTCCACCCAGACTTGAGAAACTATTGGCAGTTGATGGCTTGAAGGGAGAGTTACTTTCAGGAGTGTGGCAGTGGGAGTGGTCTGTGCACCCGTTGATGACTCCATGCCTATGTGTATGTGGGCAGCTTTAATTGGACTCAGTGGATTAAATAAGTGAATAAATTATAAAAGGACAGACTTTGAAGGAGGGAATAGAAAGAGTTTTAGAAGAACTGAGTTAGGAAGTAAGGAATAAGATCAAGAAACATTGCCTTTTGTGCATGTAGGAGATTTTCAAAAATAAATAAAAAATTAAAAATATAATATAAAAGAAACCCTCAAAGCACTCAATTAGTAAACACACACACACACACACACACACACACACACACAACATCCTTAGTCATTAAGGAAATACAATTCAAAACGACAATGAGATTCCATGGCACCTCAGTCAAGAATGGTTGTTATCAGGAAAACAAATGACAGAGAGAATGCAAGGGAAAAGGTTAATACACTGAAAATGCAAATTAGGGTGGTCACTGTCATGGAGGTTCTCAAAAGACTAAAAATAGAACTCCTATGTGACACATCTATACTATTCTGATGTGTATAACCAAATAATTCTAAGTCTGCACACCCCAAAGATATTGGCACGCAAACCATGTTTATTATGTCACTATACACAGTAGTCAAAATATAGAACCATCAACAGAAAAGAAAAGAGCAAAAAGAACATGGGTTAAATAAACACATATATATGTACTATAAAGTTTTATTAAACCATTGTTAAGAACAAAATGATGTTATTTTAAAGGAAATGAATAGAGACCATCATGTTAAACAAAACAAGCCAGACTCAGAAAAGGCAACTATAATATGTTTTCTCTCATGCAGAATCTACCAGTCATCTATCTCCTGAAAAGAGGAAGATTGTCAGAAAGAAAGAGGGTCATTGGTGTGAGGTGGGGGCAAGAAATGACAATGGGGAGTTGAATGCATGCAAAGTACACGTGTGAGCATCACAATGAAACCCGTTGTTTTGTAGTCTCATTTTAAAACACTTTTTTCAGTATTGGAGAATGGCTTGGCTTGTATATGCTATGTAACAGTGCATGGCCGAGCTACCTCCTCATCTTGTATGTTCATTACAAACAAACTTTAATTGGTTATCTTCAGACAGGACAAAGACACTCGTCACCTTTCTAAGAGATGCCAGGCCGTTTCTGCTTCCTCAGGTATCTATTTATCAGGTAGAATAGCGCAAGTGCGAAGAAGATCAGACCAATGATGACAGTTGCAATCCAGGATTTCCTTTTGTCTTGATTAGATTCTGACCTTGGAAGAACTAGAAATGGCCACAAGTTTTCAGTCAGTAAGAAACTCATTTATGAAAGGCTTAAATTTTTTCCTTCCTTCCTTTCTTTCTTCCTTCCTTCCTTCCTTCCTTCCTTCTTTCCTTTCTTTCTTTCCATCATTTCCTTGAGTTTTAGGGCCTTAGAAAACTGAAATTAACAGCAGGAGGCTTGGAAAGTCCCTTGGTAATGGTCCCTCCATCCACCATCATCTCGAAGTCAGTCTCTAGATCACCTCTCATTTGGGAAAATAGAACAACCTTCTCATGAGCAGCTACTTCAAAGTGTTTGATTATTATTTCCACAGAGGTGGCCCAGGGATTCATTAGCCAATCTTTTGGCATGCCTCCTCAGTTAGAAAGCCTTTGAAACTTCCTCATTCTCTGGAGAATCAGATCCCTGAAGGCCAGGAATTACTTCCTAGAATAGGAATGCCTAACTGCAGTCTGGGAGGTTGATGGAAAGTTGAGTGGCTCACATTATGGACATTTACAGGAACAGTTCTTTTGTTTAATACTAAACTCTAGGAAAACTGAGGAAGGTCTCCCACAGTTTAGCTATGATGTGTAGGCACACATTCTCTTTCTAGAATAATAAGATGAAGAATTATTGGCACAGTGGATCACTTCTGGGTGTGTCCCAGTTTGGCTCACTTGAACCTGTTTGGAATTTCCAATAAAGGAGGATTATGCTTCTTATTGGAAGACTTCCACCTTTTGATACTCAGATTCAGTAGCTAACCTATCTCTGAGCACAGCATAGATTGGGGACCCTTTTGCTGAGGTAGCTAGAGCAGAAGCGTTTCTGAAGGTGGTACCTGGGGAAGTTCTATACAGTTGCCAAGAAGAGGTGAGCCATGATGAGTGTATAGTGCTGATCTGTCCCTGCTCATTTGTGGACAAGGGTGGTGGGGGGTGGGGGGTGGTGTTGGTGTCTACACGAAATTGCTGAGCTTCAGGCACTACTTAGGTCATCTATATTGCAGTAGAAGCAAATGGGACAGCTAGGCGACCCTTTCAGTGACTGAGACATCTGAGTAAAAGGAAATCAGTACCAGGAAAGGGAGTGTGGGTTTAGTTGTAAAACTGGCTGTGGGCACTAGTCACAGGGATGCCTCTAGGAGTATGTCCTTAGGCCAAGTTACTGAGGGAGGCACAAGGAGAAAGGAGGAGGCAAAGCCAGGGAATGAAGAAAGAGATGAATGGAGGGATGACACCGGAAGGGGCAAATCAGAGGGCTGGAGAAGGCTGGAGAAGGGACCGCAGAAACGAAAGGCAGATCGCTGGGGATGGGATCAGGCTCAGAATAAACAGTGATGGGGGCCAGGTGGGTACAAGGTGCCTCCATTCTAGAAGGAATGGTTGCTTCTCAAAAGTGGTGTCCAGGCACAGATTAGTTCTCAACAGGACAAAGCTAGGACTGAGTTTTAACCTTTTTTTTTTTGTTGTTGTTGTTGTTGCTCCATCAGCATAGAAGCCAGAAACACACCAAGAAGATACTACAAGCCCTCCTTCACTAAGTCTGTCTTAAAAATACTTCCTGCTTCTTATTGGACACAACTGATTGGCTGTGGTCCCCTCATCACTGTGGTCCTCTCATCAGCTGAGAACACTTGCTGCCTCATGCTTTTGCTGTGCAGAAAGTCACTGCAAATTGGAGGGTCTCTCATTTAGAACCCTGGCCCCTTTTCCATCGTATTTACCGAGACCAGTAATCCATTTTGCAGTGTGGTAAGGCTCTAGTGCCTTCAGAAGGTTTATCTGACTTCCAGAGATGTTGCCTGCCTCTGAAGGCCTCTCAGAGCCGATCATCAGCTTGTTTTAAATTTAGGCAATTGTTTCCACAAACTATAACTTAGACTTGAATTTCATCTTTAAAAATTCAGTTTATCATGTATGTATGCCATTGAGTTCTTATTTTCTTGGAAGAATCTTAAGAACTAGAAGGTATCTTCCATTTTTGTGTTTTCAGTCTTATACTTGACAATGCCTAGAATGATTCCAAATACTGTTGAGAGGCAGGTATAAACATAGTATGCATATATGTATGTATGTGTGTGCGCGTGCGTGTGTGTATTTTATTCAACTGATGGCTTCTTATTAGGAGATATCTTCTATATTCTGACTACAATATCTCATCCAAGAATAACTCCAAAGTCTGGGTCATTTTCAGGGCTAAGCCCAGATTCATAGGCTCGTGGGCCGAGGATCATGCAGGGGTAGCAGAAGCCTGCTACTTGAGTCCTTTCCAGTGGCCTGCTGGAAGGTTTTCCAGCAAGCAGTGAACATTGGGAGGTTGGGCTAAAATGTTTTCCACCTAACTCCCGGTGAAATAAGTCGTCTTGGGAAGCAGCCTTACCTATATTTTGAGGTGTGGAGGAAGTCGTCATTGACTCGGTTTCCAGAACACACACGGCGGTCACACTCCACACATCGTCAGGGAACGGGATGGAGAGGTTAATGGAAACACTGAACAGTTCCGTGACGTTGTCTTGTGATATCAGCATGTCATCGCTGTACTCGCTGGTGGAATTAGTCGAATTCATTATCCAAACATACATCCTTGTAGGTTTTGGAAAACCTTGCTTAGATGAGCAGGTCAAATTTATGCCAGAATTCCTGTCTTTATACTGAACCTCGATTTGAGGTTCACTGAAGTTAGCTGGAGGCAGAATAGAGATGGAAACAGTCAGTTTAAACGCAGATGTATTTACAAAGGAATGGCAAATAACTAACAGAAAATTCCTTAATTGGGGTTCACCTGGCGCTCTCAGGGTGTGGGCCTCAGCCTACAGTGATGGTTACCTGATAAGTCTACATTTTTCTTTCAAGAAATCCACTTAACTCCTTATCCCAGCCAAGAGAGGGCTCTCTGAGAGAAAGGCTAGCTAAAAAGATCTCGCCAAGGTCTCTAGAGAAGCCCTATTCAAGGAAGTGGAGTCTGAGTGGCCGGCCTGACTACTGGGCTTCTATTGCCACGGGGAAGCATCTCAACTTTCCACCCAGGGAAGGAACTGAGATTCCACCAGGAACTCACAGAGTTTACGGCCCTTGCATGCTTTGGGTCTCATCTTTAGGAACTTAAGAATAAGAAGTGGGGCCTTTGCATTTACAAACTCAGACTATTGGTTTTTGATTTGATTACTGTGGTATCATCATCAAGTGTTATAACAGTGGTTCTCAACCTGTGGGATGTGACCCCCTTTGGGGACTGCATATCTGATATCCTGCACGTCAGATACTTACATTACAATTTACAACAGTAGAAAAACCACAGTTATCAAGCAGCAGTTTTATGGTTGGGGGGTCACCACATCATGAGGAACTGTATTAAAAGGTTGCAACATTAGGAAGATTGAGAACCACTGTGCTATAGGAATTCATCCATCCGGGGGCAAATTCAATCCACTGTCGCCTTTGTTTTCACTTGTGTATTTTGGGCTGAAGTTCACTGGCACATAGACCTTGGACCTGAAAATCGTGCCTTTAGCCAGCCAAATCCCTTGCTGTTCTCTTAGGGTATTTGCAGATTTTTTAGACTAATTGGATAATTCAGTATGGGACTGGAGAGATGGCTCAGCCATTACAGGCTAGACTCATAACCAAAAAGTTAATGTACTGTATTGTTTCTATAATGAAAGTCATTAGCATGTCATCTTTGCATTTTGCATTATTGATAAGCTCCTTGGACATCCTGCCGAGGCTTGCTAAGGATTGCCAGATTCTGTTTAGCATCATCAACAATACCTTTGCAGTCATGGATTAAGTTGTAGCAGTAATACACATTATAACAAATAGATAGCTGGTTTTAAAAGTTTGTCTGTGCCCCACCTAAAACACCCTGTCTCCACAAAGGTGCCTCCCATACACTGACTTAGCACTTGGTTAACTGAAAGCCCAGTAGACTTAGTTAACTGAAACCCCCAGAGAAACACAACTTAGGTCCCCACAGAAGCCGGCCCTTGAATGTTTGCAACAGTTCAATTTGTAACAGCCTCAAACTGGAAACTACCCAGTGTCTTTCAGTGATTGAATGGATAAACGGCATAACGTAATTCATCAATTCAAAAAAAAAATGCTTCCCAATTTCTGGAACACTCAGGTGAAACACAAAACATCTGAATAAAGGAAGTTAGTCTTAAAGGTTAAATACACAAGTTCGGCTCCGGGTGTATGATAGTCTCAAAAGGACAAAACTCTACGACCCAAAGAAGAGCTATGGGTGAAGAGAATGGCTCCAAAAGGAACCTCCTGAAGGAATTTTTCAGCAGGTGGAAGTGTCCTGAATCTGATCTACTATGGTGGTTACAAACGCCTCTACAGAATCTACAAAAATAAAACAATATTAGGCACTCAAATGATAGATTAGTTTCCCTGTATGATAGTTTCAAAAATCTGTAGTGAGATGCAGACGATTCTAAACCTGGTGAAACAGAGAAGCTGACTTGTTGGTTTGTGGGTTCTCCTCAGTTTCCTTTCTGTCTGCTGGGCAGACACAACTCAAACAATCTATGGAAAGTTGAAGGGAAAGCCCACATCAGTTGACTGCCACCCTTGGGAGGAGTTAGAGACCACAGTCTGTGTGCGTGCATGTGTGTGCATGTCTGTGCATGTGTGTGTTTTATACACATGTAGAGGTGGAATCAGACATCTTTCCTCAATCACTCTCCCTCTTTCTTATGTGGTAAGATAGTCTTCCATGGAACCTGATGCTCATGGATCCTATTAGGTTGGCCGGCCTAGCAGAACCAGGGAGCCTCTTGTCTTGGCACTCCATTCCCTACCACCAAGTGTCACGGTTAGAGGTATGTGCCACTGTGCTTGGCTTTTTCCATGAGTTCTGGGAATCCCAGCTCAGGCCGTCATGCTTGTACAACAGGCATCTTATAGAGCAAGTCATCCCCTCAGCCCCCAGACCAGGTTTTGTGGGTGAGAAAATCTCAGACTGGAGGAGGAGAAGGATGCAATGGTTGCAGCATCCACTGTCTTCCTCTGGCTGTGTTGCTTTTGTTCAGCTGGTTCTATTTTGTCTCTAGGGAAAATTCTCACCGGTCCCCAAGAAGCAAACCATCGAAGTGCGAAGGGCTTTCTGTTTCCCACTCTCGGACCCCACCTTCTCTAAGATGGACTTCCTAGAAACGGCTCTCTTCTGCCTTCTTGACCCATTAGCTCCCCGGTCTCAGTGTTTCTCTGCTCATTTATAGTCTCAGCGAGCAGACCAACCATCTGAACACAATACTGACCACATACCGATCACTGATAGCTCCGTATTTGTCTGCTGGAGGATAACTGATCCTTTGGGTGTCTTTTTTTGTATAAAGCAATCATATAAGCCCATGTCCTTGATCTGAACATTGTGAAGTCCTAGAGTCCAGTTTTCTCCATCAAAGCTCGTGCGGTTCAGGTACTTGGCATTCACGCTATCAAGTTTCTCTCTGCCAAAATAGTGCTCATACAGGACAGACTTTTTCTGGTCCTGCCAAAATACCACCAGCTCACTCAGGCTCATGTTCTGGGCCTTTGTAGGATGGCATGGCAGGTATGCAGTCCTATTGAAATAAGCTTGTTTCTTCATGGCAGCAGCATCTAAAATAGAGAAACTGAGAATTAGGGAAGGGGAAATAAGAAGGAAGAAATTCCAGTCTCCCCACGCAGCACCCAGCCTCCAGCTTTCCTGCCAGCGATGGTACTGGGGAATCGGATGTTAGCATCTAGAACTGGGCATCCATGCTGGGCATCCATGCTGGGCATCTGGGTTCGACCCTTGCTCTCGTTCCACTGGTCCCATGTGCAGACTGCGGCCTTTGTGAGTCCCAGTGCTCTCACCTGATTAAGGAGGCGGTCTGAAGTAATGTCTAGGATTCTCTCTGGCACTATCGTTCTGTAGATTTCTAAACCAGAATATTGACCATGACCACTGTGGCTATCACAGGCTTCCATAGCTGCTAAGCTACCCCCCTAAACCCTCCCTGTCCCATGCCATTCTCTTACTCTTTGGTTTGCTTCTGTAATATATATACACATATAGATAAAGATATAGATATAGATATAGTGATTCTTGGGAGATTGTGGTGGTCAGAGCACTTAGGGACATGAGTAGAATGTTGGGGATGTGAGGAGGTGTGTCACATGGGAGAAACCCCAGAGAAACCGACTTGCTACTCCCAGGCTGCATTGCCTCTGGAAACTTTTATAACCCAAACGGAACATGCTGGAAAAGTTCAGAGAAAGAACATGCTGGCATCAGCTAACTTGTAGGATGCTTTTCTGGGCTGCAGAGCTACTTGGGACTCATCAAGGAAAAAGCAAATAGAGGAAGCTGAGAGGCGAAGGGTGAGGAGAGGGTGCTGTTATTAGTTCCCGTGAAGTAGGGAGCTGCCGCCAGGAGCAGACTGGAGAAGGTTCTGCATAAAGAGCCATTCATCTTTAGGATTCCCAGAAGGGATGAGAGGGTAAAGGAGATGAGAGGGCTCCCACTTGAGTGTTGGCCATACAGGGCAAGTTAAATTGACCTGATCCGTGGGCCTCCCTTTAAATAGGACACAGACAGGTAGCACTTGGCAAACTGCCTGCAGACCACCGTGAGAACCTAGGATCGAGAGGTTGCATGAGGTCTCAGGGGATGTTCCAGGCACCAGTGACATAAACATGCATGTCTGGGTTGGAGGAAGAGGGGAATCCCTGGGTTCCCACAGCAGTGAAAATGGGCCCTGAGGACAATTTACTCCATCCGGCCTTCTGTTACACCTTTATTAATTTCTCAAGCAAGAGGCAAGAGTGCCACCTACTGTAAATGTTCATAGTGCTGCAGGGGTTGAGGTGGGCAGGACTCGGGAGGGCAGAACCCATTCTGGTGTGGGTCTAATTTGTTGTGTGATTCTGGGCAGAAGATCTAATAGAGAAACCAAGCAGGCAGCTGAAACGTCAACCAGCTATGGGTTAAGGTGGCATTCGCCGCATTTTCTCGAGCTGGATGTGAATTCACCCAGAGTTTCTTATATCTTCTTGACACACAGGTTTTCTTTTCCTCTATGGAGACTCACAATACCTACCTTCTTTCTTTCTTTCTTCCTTCCTTCCTTCCTTCCTTCCTTCCTTCCTTCCTTCCTTTCTTTTTCGAGACAGGGTTTCCCTGTGTAGCCCCAGCTGTCCTGGAACTAGCTCTACAGACCAGGCTGGCCTTGAACTCATGGAGATCCGCCTGCCTCTGCCTCCAAACGTGTGGGATTAAAAGCACGAGGGATTAAAAGCGTGCTCTGCCGCCACCACCCAGCCCCTACTTTGCTTTCTATGTGTTCTCTCTACTAACAGACAAGTGCGACTTCTCTGACACAGGCTCCTTCTCCAGAAGATAACTCAGACTTCCTCCTCACCTCAGTTTCCTCTTTACTTAACAAATACAAAGTAGACCAAAGGCATTGGCCTCATCTGGAGGCTGGTCAGAAACTTAGACTCTCTGGTTCCACCCAGGATCTGAATCAGAGTTTGCGTTTTTTACCAACGCAACTCCTATTTGGGAAACCGAGGAAATCAGAGAGGCAGACCTGGACACACTCATTTCCACCCTCTTCCAACCCCTTCTCCTTCCCATGGGGTAGAAAGGCTCTGTAGCCTGAGTGGAACTGAAAGTAATTCACTGTCTACATGCTTGGGCTCATCACCAGACTCTGGTTTTCCTGATGTCACTCTGAACCAGGAAGAAACATCTTCTTAACTGTGACCAAATGGGGAAGATTTGACACCAGGTCTGTTTTTTCCCCCGGTGGCTTCAGGCCTCCACTGCTGTGGTCCCCAGGGTTTGGGGCCTCTAAGTCAGTGAACTCCCTGGGATTTCATTGGTGGAAAGCACTGACAATCCCTCCCTCCTCTACCACTTGGGCAACAGAAATGGTTTGGATTTACTTGTGACCGATTGCTATGGTGATGTCAGGAGCAAGGCACATAGGGATTCAGCCATACATTCCCCCAACCAGGAAACAGAGACCGCGAATACTAAAGGAAACAATCCGAGAGCTACACGGAGCTCACGGTCTGAGAACTTTGTGAGACTATGACCCCACCAGAACAACAATGTTTCCTGGTCATTACCCCAGACTCAGGTCATGATTTAAGTATTTCTTCTTCGTGTTACTGTGCTTATTACACTCAAAGCTTTTCTAGGCTTGCTGGAAGCACTGTTCCATTGTACTAGACTCCACTATTGATGAATCTCTTCAATAAATATACCCTTAAATGTTCTTTCCATGAAATCTGATTGTACCCAAAGGACTCCATGTGGCCCCCAGATGCTGCTGGCTCCATCAACAGGGACTTGAGCAGCCCCTCTCCACTTAGAGAAATGTATACTATCTAACCCATCTCACTGATTGTGAGCCATTAATTATTGGGCACTACCTCTTCATTCAAGGAGGATTTTGTCATTATACTCAAGGCTGTTCTTTCTAACCAAGTTTCAGCATAACTGCCAAGATAATCTAACAGTTTGTCCATCAACAATGAGTCTACCGACAACCTTGTACCAAAGTTGCTTGACTTCATCAGTCACAAAGACCTTCACCCACAGACTAGTTCAGAAGCCTTCCGGCTGCCGTGACATGATCCCAAGCAGTGTCACCTGAGGCTCAGGACCTCAGACCTCGGTCTCAACACATTCATCTCCACCCAAAACATGATTCCTCCAGGCTTCACTCTCGCAGTCTCTTATCTGTTCTTTTCATTGAGACGTTAGCTTTCATAGACCTCAGTCTTGACTCCACACTGCATTATTTCCCCAGAAGAATGCTTTGAGATGAGAGAACTATTATTTGGTTTTAAATAATGGCTCATGAATCCTTGATACATACTAAATGTGACCGAGAAACCAGATTATTTTTGCAGTGCTGGAGAGAGAAATTGAATTTTTTTCATCTCATTTAATTTTAATTAATTCAAGTTTAACAAGTCGCATATGGCAAGTGGTGATTATACTGAACAGCACAGAAATAATCCAGCTTTTTAGCCATTTCTCACCAGTAAGGCCAGTAAATAAACCTTGTTGCCTTAGTAGAAGTCACACTGAAGAAACAGTTTTGGGTCTATAGCTCTGATCTTATAACTAGGTGGATGAGCACCATTAGAGGAAATAATTCCATTGAACAGACAGGTAACGTTTGAAATTTGGGATATTCTATCTCTCTGAATGCGGCCCGTCTCAAACTGGTCCCGCTGCTCCTGCTTTTCAATGTAGTCAGATTCCCCTAGTGAGCAGGAACACCTCCTCCCCCTACTCCACTGCTCAAGCCCACCTCTCACGAAGCGCTCCCGATAAAAGATGTTAGCAGCTCCCACCAGTGCATCCTTGTCCTCTTCCTGTCCTCTCCCGATCAGACTGGTCCACCAAAAGTCGCTCAGTTTTTGCATCCAGCCTAACTGGAATGAACTTCCTCAGTCTGACCCCCTGGTTCATGTGGCTGTTCTCATGCCTGGATTTATTCTGGATGATCATTTATTCAAACGCTAACAGATTGATCCAATCTGTGATCAATTCAATAACCTAGCAGACACTTATCTGCAGTGCACAGCCTTCCCTGGAGTTCCGGACACCATACCCAGTGGCCTGCTGGACACTTTCGTTTAGAAAGCAGGGGATGCTCTCATCTTCCTCTTAAATCTTCCTCCCCATCTCTAAGAGTGGTTCTCCTACTCAATGCCATTCTACTCGTCATCATCAGATTCTCTGCAGGAAATGCCCAAGACACACACGCAAATGCTGCATGGGAGAGTCAGAGGTACAACAGCCAAGGGTGGTGGGTGACTACGAAGCAAAAACAAGGACTCTCAGAAAAGGAATCTTGATTTACCTGAAGGCCTTAGGGGCATTGTCTTTTATGTTTCCCTTTACAAGGCAAGGAAGGTCCATGCAAGAAGGGTTACAAGTGTTTTCATTTCCATGGCTAGAAAAATCAAAACGGGGTCACCTACGCTAACATCCCACACTTATAAACCCAAACCAACTTGCTACCTGACCTTCCAAGAGATTTGGAGAATGGGACACCCAAACTTCCCAGACTAGTTTATCAGCACAACAGGGAGGCTCCCTTAATGCATGCACCACACATCCTTACACGAAGCAATCTGTTATCACCCAGTGCATTAGTTTCTTACTGTTCTGTCTCTGCCTTGCAAGAAAGTATCATTGCAATGGCCAACCCCGTTTTCGGTTTCTGGTTTTGTTTTGTTTTTTTCAGTCTTTCTCTTTCCACGAAACCAACTTCTTTTGCTCAGCCCTTAGGGGTGCCTATTCTAGTTCACGGAACGGAGTGATGTGTAATGCTAGAATGAGAAAATAAAGCCTATTAAGATCTTTAAATTATCCACAAAGAACCCCGCTGCCTGCCATCTTGGAGTCCCGAGACCCTTTGTAAATCACACGCAGGAAGTTCAGAGCAGGTACCAGGTGACTACACACTCAGTTCTAGCTAGCAGAGTACTAATAGGCTGCAGGGGAGAAAAACAAACAAACAAACAAACAAACCTTAAGTCAGTACCGCGCAGCATTCCATGAGCTGCAAGCTTAACGTAACCAACACAGAGGGGAACTTGAACAC